TCTATTGCAACTGAAGTGAATTTTTAAGTTGTTGTTTGCCAAGCTGACTTTTAACTTGATATACTCTTTCTTTGAAAAAAAAATCATGTTTTTGCTAGGTATAGCTATTACATCACAGGTGAAATGAACCATGATGCTTAAAAAGAAGGCATGCAGATCTCAGCTGTAAAACACTGCCACGGAGAGAAAGCACACTAATATTTTTACAATCATTTTTATGAAGTTGAACCCTTGCACCATTGTTTGCCTATTGCTGGACAGTCATGTAACATGGAAACTTCAAAGCTTATATTACTTGATAGTAAAGAAAAACAGTTTTCACAAAATTTCAAAAGGCTATAAAAACAGATCAGGGTCAATAAATAGTGATGGCATGCTGCAGTGCTGTATGTAAGCAACTGTCCTTAGGAAATTCAAAACCAGAAACACCTCTAAGGAAAAAGGCCTTTCCCACTACTTGAAAGCCTCAGGGCTTCCCATGGAGCACTGCGCAGAAGCCCCAGGGACCTATCCTTATCACCAGCACTCTATGTGTGGGTGGAGATCTCCAACTCCAGCAAAAAGATAGAGCTTTCTTGGCAGGAATGACAAGCGACAACGTTCTCTATCTTACCCAATGCCTTAAAATGATCATCTGAGTGCCCCACAGTAAACAGTAGTACTTGTAAAATATATATATCTATATATAACTGAATGTATGTTATATATCTTTAATAAAATATTACGGTATTCTTAGGCAGATAGTTGTGGTCGCACGGCTAATACAAATAGAAACAGGATCCCTCATACCAATAGGGGTGAACATCTTGCTCCTGGTCTTTCCAAGGTGCAAGAAAGGGAAAAGAAGACCTGGTGACAGTGTTCTTAATGTGAGCCATGTGTTCGAAAAGGCATAAACTTCTGATGTGTGGCTGACTGTGGCAGAGACCTGGGATCATTTCAGGGATGGGAGGTATGGACTGACTAACCAGTGACACACCCAATCAGACAATCATCAAGCAAATCTTCTCTCTTCATCAGAGAAAAAAAGAGTGTTTTCATTTGAATATTTCCAAGATTGCCATCATAAGATGAGTAACTGGGAAATTACCGATATCATCAGCTGTTTATGTCTCAACCAAGTATGCTTAGAGAAGAAGAGTAATTCTGCTAGAACCCAGGGTAAAACAAGATCATGGACAGTGATGAAGTGACACATCTTTTATGTATTTTTTTTTTTGAGATGGAGTCTTGCACTGTCATATATTTTTAAAATATATATAAGGCAGTCCACATGAACACCAAGAAATACAGAAGATAGAAGACAGATTAAAGAACACTACTGGCGGGGCACAGTGGCTCACGCCTGTAATCCCAGCACTTTGGGAGGCCGAGGCGGGTGGATCACGAGGTCAAGAGATTGAGACCATCCTGGTCAACACGGTGAAACCCCGTCTCTACTAAA